AAACAGGTGCCAGTTCCTAGATTGGAAGAGGCAACATAATAAAGATATCAATTCTTCCTCAATGCATATACAGGTTTAATGCAGTTCCTGTGAAAATCTCATCAAGGTTCCTGATGCATATTGATTATTCAAAAATTTTGCCTGGAAAGACAAAGGAACTATAGTGCTTGTCTTCATCTGTTTTCTGTTGCTGTAACAAAATACCTGACTCTGGGTGATTTATTTTAAAAAGAGATTTGTTTAGCTCACAGTTTTGGAAGCAGAAAGCCCAAAATCCAGTGGCCCAGTCCCTGCAGGTACTGCCGAGGGCCTTGTGACAGACAGCCTTGTGGTTATGGAAGCAAATCTGACAGCAATCGCTCGGCCACACAGAGGAACAGAGGGCCTCAGGGACCAGGCTCACTTTTTTTATAGCAACTCCAACTCCTTTGAGGAGGGGAAGGGGAGTAAGTGCTGGGGACTGAATCCAAGGCCTTCACATTGAGCTATACTCTCAGCCCTTTTAATCTTTTATTTTGAGATAAGGTCTTGCTGTGTTGCTGTGAGACTCAAGCTTGCAATCCTCCTGCCTCGGCCTCCCAAAGTGCTGGGATTACAGGCATGCACTAGCACACCAAGTTTACAACTCCAACTCTTGAAAGAAGGAATCAGGGTGCTGACAGATCTACATTAATCCCTTCAATCAGGTTCCACCTCTAAAAGGTTCCACCACACTTCAATATTTTCAAACTGCAGGCTGAGCCTTCTGCACACAAGCCTTTGGAGAGCCTATCCAAAGTACAGCAATACTTAAAACAATTATCAAAAAGAAAAATAAAGTAAGAAGAACTAATCATCTAGATTTCAAGACACTGTATAGGTACAATAATCAGGCCTATATTTTGTTAAAACAATAGTCAAATAATTAATGCACCAGAATGGAGAACTTGGAACAGCACCAACACAAATGTGCTCAAGTGACTTTTGACAAAGATGAAAAAGCAATTTATAAAGGAAGAATAGCTTTATCAACAGATGGTGCTAGAGCAATTAGCCACAGACCAAAACTTAACCTCAGCCTAAACTTCATACCTTGTACAAAAATTAACTCAAAATTGGGCCAGGGATTTAGCTCAGTGGTTCCACCTCTTCCCTCACAAGCACAAGGACCCCAGTTAAATCCCTGGTACAAAAACAAATAAACAAGCAAAAATTAACTCAAAATGTGTCACAGACTTAAATGTAAAACATAAGACTATAAAATTTCTAGAAAAAAACCCACACAATATCTTCAGGATCTAAGGCTAAGCCAAGAGATCTTCTATTTGACACCAAAAGCATGATCCATAAAGGAAAAAAAACTGATAAATTGGACTTCATCAAACAAAATTTCTTCTCTGCAAGACTGATGGGAAAGCAAGAGGACAAGCCACAGGGAGGGATAAACTACTTGCAAGATACATTTCTGCCTGTGGAGACTAGTATCTAAAATACATAAAGAACACTCACAATGCAACAGTGAAACAACAAAGAACTCTATTAGAAAATGGGCAAGAGACATAAAAGTACATCTCACCCAAGAGGATATAAATTGGCAAATAAGCACATAAAAAAATGTTCCACTTTATTAGTCATTAGGGAAATGCAAACGAAAACCACAGTGAAGTAGCACCCCAAAATAGCTAAATGAAAAATAATATCAACATCAAATGCTGGCAAAGATGCAAAGAAGCTGGATCTCTCACATGTTGCTGATGGGAATGTGAAATAATCAGGCTGCTCTGGAAAAGAGTGTGGCAGTTTCTTTAAAAAACAAACAAGACACCAGCTTGGGATTTAGCTCAGTGGTGTCACTGCCTGCCTCACAAGCACAAGGTCCTGAGTTCAATCCCCGATAAAAAAAGAAAAAAAAAACACGTACCCTTGGGCCTTTACCCAGATAAATAAAATCTTATGTTCACATAAAAACCTATAAATTTTTCATGGTAGCCTTATTTATATTAGCCCCAAAGTGGAAACAATTCAAGGTGTCTTTCAATGATCAAATGGTTAATCTAAGTGGTACATTCATACCTCAGACAAGTACACAGTAAATAAAAAGGAAAATACTTGTAGTTCACCCAACAACCTGGATGGATTTCCAAATATGATGAGTAAAAAGACCTCATTCCCCAAGGTGATACATCTTATGATATCATGTCTGTAACATTCTTGTGAGTGTGTGTGAGTGTGTGTGTGTGTGTTTGATTCTTGAAAAGGTAATGTTATCTTGATATCATTATGAGGGGAAGTAACAAAAATGACGAAATCATAGAAGTGGAAAACATCTTAGGAGTTGCCAAGAGGAGGGAGATTCAACGTGGCTGACTAGAGGAGGAGTCAGGTTGGAGAAACTCAGAGAAAATCAGCTAAAAACAGAAGTACTTGGAAGGAGAAGAGAGACACACATCCTGATGCCAAATCAACCTGAAAGAACAGACTTACTTGTAGATCAAGCAAAACATGGCATAAGAGTTTATGAAAAGGCCAAATAGTCACCAGGAGCTCCAGAGCAGGTAGAGGTTACCAGCAATGGGTGTGGCTATAAGAGAGCAGCGCTGGCTGGTGGGGGCAGGGGAGGGGCTCGCAGTGATGGAAATCTCCTGCATCCATGTTGGCACTCGATATCCAGATGGTGACACTGCACTGTGGCTTTGCAAGACGTCACCATGGAGAGGGACAGGGTGAAGAGTGGGCTCTTGCTGTACTGTTTCATACAACTGCATGTGAATGTACAAGACAGAAAGGTTAAATTAAATTAAAAAAAAATAAATCGAGTCATTTCTCTTCTCTACTCAAAGGCCCACATGGGGCTACAGAGGTAGAGCCCTTGCCTAGGATGCAGAAAGCTCTGGGTTCAATTTTCAGCCGTGGGGGTAAAAACTCTTAATGGCTCCCTGATGCATTCACAGTAAAATCCAAACATAAAGCTCCTCCTCACTGGCTGTGCTCCTGGCCAATGATCTTCTGTCTACCCCATCAGGCAGGATCTCCCTGCCTCAGGGCCTATCCTGGCCCAATCTTCTCATCACTTATGGCTCAGCATCAACGTCAATTGTTCAAGGGGTCTCCCCCACCTCCTCTAAAATCATGCTCAGTTACAGTACCCTATTTTCATTTTCTGTATTCACTGCTAGAGGGTATTTTTTCTTGTTTACTCATATTTTTGCCATTGTTGATCACCTCCTCCTCCAAATTAGAATAAAAACTCCATAAGAGAAAGAACTGGTCTTATTCTCCACCATCTATTTCCACCTGGCCCACATCAGACCCTCAATAAACAGTTGTTGGAAAAGCTGAGTGGGTGAATGAATAAGCACAGGAAAGAGGTGAACACAGGGCTTCTAGAGGTGTGGGTGGGTCGGGGCCCATGGAAGCCTCTGGTACTTTTTGAAAAAATATATTTTCCTGTGCCCATATTCTGTTCTACAAATGTCTTCACACCCACAGCCTCCTTTCCCTCAACCTACACACTTGTTATTAGAAATGTCACCAGCAGCCAGGTTTAGGGGTCCATGCTGGTCCCAGCACTCTGAGAAGGCTCAGGCAGGAGGACTGTGAATTAGAGGCCTGGGAAGCTTAGTGACTTAGCAAGACTTTGTCTCAAAACAAAACAAAAATATAAATAAATAAAAAGTGCTGGGCAGGTAGCTCATTGCAAAAGCCCTGGGTTCAATCCCCAGTAGTGAAGGGGGAAAAAAAAAAACCCACCAGGACATAAGGAGAAGATGCTAACCTTCTAGTGCTTTATGAAGAGAGGGACCCCCAAGGATTTTGACCATCCCCAAATCTAGCTCTGGAGAAATGCAGAAAACTGTTTCTTCTTGCTGTGACCTGAATCCTCCTGTCACCGGTGGTCACTGTGCTGGACTCCAGGGATTACATGTAACTGGAGGCTCCTGGACAAGGGCTGCAGAACCCACAGAAGGCCCATCTCAGCCACACCTCAGCTGAGTACATGGGTTGGTGTGCCAGACCCTGGGACCCTCTTGCTTCACTGTCAGTCACCTCTGTGGCCAAGCTCAGCTGTCCCTTCTCATCACCTACAAGATCCAGCAACAAATGAGGCCTGGCGGTTCCCTGAAAAGGAATGTCCTAGGGAGGGTTTCCTTGCACTCCAAAACTATGTCTCCCACAACTAGGCAAGGCTGTACTCACCATCCCTCAGCTGAGCCATAGGAACATAGCCCAGCTGGACAGGTCCTGCTGTCCTCAACTCCCAAAGGAAGCCAGAGAAGGCCCACAGGGAGCCACGTCCCAGGGACATGGCCAGCATGTTTGGAAATATTTCTAAGCCAGGACACTGCATGCTGCAAGTGAGTGGCCCAAGGGACAGGGACCGGCTAGGTCCAACTCGGGCACCCACAGCCAAGGGAGGGTGCAGCCAAGGACCAGGCAATGTTAGGGTTCTGGACACATGGACACAGCAGGAGGGCAGCCCCTCCTCTGACAGTGCCCAGTCAGACGTCACCCAGGGCCCCTCAGCTGTGGCTTCCTGTGCCATCACCTGCCACCCCTTGGCCACCAGCAGGCCCTCTCTTCTCATCATGTTAAACCAGGACAAACCAGTGGAAACCTCCTGGCAGGGTCTGGCACTGGGCAATGCGCCAGCCTCAGGGTTGGGGTTTATTAGGAGACTGGGGTGTGGCTCTGCCCATGGGGACTCTGCTTTAACAGCTCTGTACTCCTCACTGTGAAAGTCCTCACTGTGGCTTGGGTGCAGTTTGTAAGGTCCATGTGCTGTAAAACTGGTCCTCGCTGTGGTGATGTGAGAGGTGTGGAGACCCTTAAGAGGTGGAGCCTTATTCAAGGTTGGGGGAGGAATGAATGAATGAATGAGGAGGAATGATGATGCAGTTCTCAGTGGTCCAGGTTGTTCTCACACCATTGAGGCTGTCACAAAAGAGCAAGGCTGGCCCCACCCACCTCTGGCTTCTGGCCTCGATATTCGTCTCTCTAAGACACTTTCTTACCATGGTACCAGCCACTGTGACATCTCCCAGACCAGGACCTTCACCAGTGCCCATGAAAGGCTGTGTAACTTCCAGCCTCCAAAACTGTGAGTTAAATGTACCTCTTTTCTTTATAACTCATTCAGCTTTGAGGATTTTGTTACAGCAACAGAAAACTGACTAATACACTCTTCCAATTCTGAGTATCTGTGCCCAGCTACTCTCTCCTAACAATCAGGCTGTGGCCCCAGGTCCTCCCTGTCTGATGACATCTTACAGGACCACCCTCACCCTTCAATTCTAGCCTCACAAACCGCCACAAGTATGAAAGTAAAAAGTTCCTTGTTTTCTAGCTGGACCCCCAGTAAATCACCTCATGGAAAGATGGCTTAAATGAAACACAGTCCAGGAGCCTTCAGGAAAATATGAGTTTCCATCAGCTCTGGTGCAACTCTGGCTAAGGGACCTGCTGGGTGTGGCCTTCCTCATGCGGTGGGAGTACCCAGGCTGTCAGAAACCTGGAGCTGGGAGAGATGGGATGGGAGGCAGGAAGGAGTGGGGAAGTGGCAAAACTCTACCAAGTTCATGATTCCCTTTTCCAGGTACTTCCAGGAAAGGCACCAGAAGATTTAAGGTAAATGGATGTCCCCTACCATCAGGGGACTGCAACCACTGGTTCCGGAGAGATGTAACTGAAGGACTCATCTGTCTACCTGGCAGGATGCGAATGACGTCACAAGAGGAAGCTTTGCTGGGACCTCCAAGGCTACGACAGAATTCACCAGGCAGAGAGGAAACAGCAATAATGGTGGATAACAGTGGCCATGACCATATCCTAGAACAGTCCATGCACAGAACACTAAAGCGCCGTGTGTGTGTGTGTGTGTGTGTGTGTGTGTGTGTGTGTTGCACACAGGAAAGCTGCGGCGGCCTGAACCCTGACCACAGCGATGGCAGGACTGGGAAAGAAGAGGGCACCAGTGGGGGTGGTTCCCCCCATCCGCTTGCAGGGCTGGCACCCTGTCCTGTTCTCCCCACAGAGCTTGTGTGCAAACACAAATCAAAGCATCCAGAGCGTTTCCAAGAATGGAGAGAGCCAAAATGGGACCCCACACAGCTTCAGAAAAGTGGGCAGAAAAACGGACAAGAAAGACAAAGCCCGGAACGGGTCTGTGTAAACACCGTGGTTGAAATGCGACCAGACATGGCGAGCAACTGGGATCTAAGCAAAGGAACATGCATGCGCAGGGCTGCTGGGGAAGGGTGGGCCCAGGCCTGATGCATACCCAGAGCTGTCTGGGACCGCTGTGCTGCGCTGGAGTCCCCTTCCGATTCAGTGCCAGCCAAATTACAACCAGACTCATGCAAGACTTTCCTATCACTTCCTCTTCCAACCATCTCATGAGGCAGCTTTCCATCACCTCCATTTAGAGTTGGGGAAACTGAGGCTCAGAGGACCAATCCTGGCTACTAAAATTTCTAGAAAAGACTGCCTTCTGCGATAGGAGAAAACTGTGTTCCACTCCCTTTCTTCCTTTTTTGTGGCATTCTTACATGAGATGCGATGCCCGGAACCACTGCTGCCTTCTGTGACCTTGAGGAATGTCACAGCAGACACGCAGGGGCCGGTGGACAGTGAAGCCTCCCAAGGGAGACCAGAGATGGGGCTCCTACAAATAAGATGCCCCATAGAGGGAAAGCCAGCAAAATTGAGATCAGCAAAACTGGGACCAGTGACGAGGAGGCACATGGAACCCAGGTGACTCAGGTGGCGAACTATAACCCCTGCCCAGGCAGCAGCCTCAAAGCCTCATAAGAGGGGGTACACCCCAATTCTAGCTCAGTTATGAGTTATCAGTGAGAGAGAGGAGTATGGGCCTCTCCTTCCTTAACAAAGAATAACAACAGCTTTGACAGTGAAGGTTAGAGGTATGGAGGCGCCTGCCAGCAAGCTCTGTAGCAAACGCACAATGCACATGTTCACCCTGAACGTTCTCTCCTCCACTCTCAACCCTCAAGAGGAGAGAAAACCTTCCCCAAAGGCCAGCAAATAGCCACACCCAAGCCCCAAAACATTGTTCAGACTGCTACTTAGCTCATAAAGCAGAGGGCAACCACGAAAACCAATTATCATTTGAAAATGCTGCCGCCCAAGTGACCAATTCAGTAATCAGCTGCTCTTTTTTGTTTGTTTGTTTTTTGGTACTGGGAATCTAACTCTGGACCTTGCACTTGCTAGGCAGGCGTAGGCACCACTGAGCTAAATACCGGACCCTGCTCTACCTTTACTTTTTCCTTTTTCAGTGTCCTTTAGTGTGTTTTTATTTTGTTTTGTTTTTCTGAGACAGGGCCTCACTAAGTTACCCAGGCAGGCAGATCTCTCCTGCCTCAGCCTCTGGAGGAGCTGGGATTACAGGCATCCACTGTCACAGACCCAGCTAGAAGCGTTCTGGTAAAGAACAGTGAAAATAGAAAATCACTATCTAGCAAACACCAGAGCAATCACTGTTTACACCAGAATCAGGAAGGGTGCAAAAATTCGTGGGTGAAAGTGAGAAATAATGTATTTGTACAACTTCAAAATATCTCCCCACAGCACACAGCCAGCTCTCCACACCTACAGTTCTGCACCTTCAGATTCAACCAACCAACTATTGAAAAAGTGTTTTTGGGGGCCAGGATTTAACTCAGTGGTTTCACCGCCTGCCTCTCAAGCTCAAGGTCCTGAGTTCGATCCCCGGTACCATACATATACATATATATTTTTTTTTTAATTGTGTCTGCCCTGGACACACAGAGGCCTTTGTTGGAGGCCGTTCCCAAAACACCAGGGTGTGGTCCGATCTATACCCAGTGTGCACTGGGCATGGGGGTCTTCCAGAGCTGGTGTAGCGCCGGAGGAAGTGTGCAGGTCCTGGGCAGACACCCAGCCCTTTCACAGAGGAACCTGAGTCTCCATGCACTTCGGGGTCTGCAGGAAGCCGTGAGGCGGGTCCGTCCCTGTGAACACTGAGCGACAACTGCACATACAAAGGACAAAAGGGAGAGGAATGGCACACCAGTGGAGGAAGCCACCGGCAGCCGCCCCCTTGACCACGTGACCCACGTCCACGCCCCCAGTCAGGAGCTGTCCCGCTGCCCCGCCTCCCTGCATCTTGTGTGCAGCTCCACAGACAGCACCACAGCACTTGTTAGCATCTTGCTGAAAATGCACCGTCTCCTTCTGATGGTGAGGAAGCGTCAGACCCTCTCAAACGGGAATCGCTCCAAAGCCTCTGGCCTGCACTTTCAAAAGGGTCAAGAGACAGAGACAAGAGACCACTGAGAATGCATCAGCCTGGAGGAGCCAGAGGAGGCAGAACAGCTTAAATCCTAAATCAGATCCAGCACTGGAAAAGAATTTTTTGTTTTGTTTTGTTTTGAGACAACCTCTCGCTATGTAGTTCAGGGTGGCCTTGAACTCACAGGGATCCTCCTGCCTCCACCACCCAAGTGCTGGGATTACAGACATGAACCACCATGCCCAGCTTGGAAAAGAATATTATGGAGATGGCTGACAAAATCTGAAGGTCTCCCTGTAATACTGTTGATTTCCTGGCTTGGGTATCCATACAATGGTTATGTAGTTTGCTCATCTTAGGGGAAGCCAGGTGGAAAGTACAGGCATAGAGAAACTCTATCTTTTTTTAGAAACTTAAAATTATTCCAAAAATAAAAAGTTACACACAAAAAAAGGTCGTGGAGACATACATACGTACATACATACATACATACATACAAACACACATACACACACAGAGTGATACTCATTGATGCATAGTCTGTAAAGTCAAAAACTAGGAAACCCTTAAATATCAGTCAAAGGTATGGGAAATAAATGGTGGTACTTTCTTATAATGGAATATTACTCAGGTGTTAAAAATGTGGGTCCATGGGAAATTATCCCAAAATATTTTTAAAAGGAAA